CGAACCATCTGAGTCTTGCTTCCCGCATCTTGTCCTCCATGGGGGCCACACCCACCTTCTCTTAGATTACAATAGTTAAAATATCACAGTTCAAATTGAACAAAAATGCTTTATCATAGTTAGAGCAAAATAAATGCCACTATGCATGATAATTTTTTTCTCATTGAAGATGGATTCCTCTTTGAATTATATGCTCCGTCATTGATTTTTCAGACTAAATTTCAAGCAAATTCAGATATTACAGAAGGATGACATTTTCTATAAATAACCTTTTTTTCTGTTAAAAGTTTTGATCCTCCTAAATCTTAATTAACTATATCATAGACCTTTAAACAAAATGAGGCATTAGAGAATAAATATAATTTCTAAAAAGAGCCTTTTGTTTAACCTTCTTTTTTAAAGTTTTGATCATCCTAAATTTCAATTAACCCTAAATCCTAAACGTTAAAAGAGGAGATATTTGGGGGGGGGGGAATCTAATTTATATGTTACTTTGTAATTTCTCTAATTTTCCTTAAAATCTTTAGATTACTGGAGTCGACAGATTTACTCTAACATCAAATAGAACAATTCTTACATTTTCTATGTGAAGTTAGTTGATTAAGTTTTTGCTTATTTACGCCTTACTATTTTTCTGGTCCCGATTCTAGTTTTGTATTTTTACGATTAAACTAACTCTTCCTAGTTATATGTATCAAGAGGACAATAAGTTATGTAAAATAGAGAATTCAAATAGGATAGTGTCCGAGAGTTATTATGTGTGACCAAATGGATGTTCCGGGGCCCACGTTTAAGAGAAGATGTACTTCACTTTATCTCTCCAGCCCATGTTTATCTTGTTTTTTCTGTCCAAGCAAGGGAATGTACATATATAACGCAATAATTATGAAATATTAAGAATGCCTCGTAACAGGCAGACATGTTGACGGGTCCTGCCTGTCCATAATTTTCCCATTGTCATATGGTGAAAAGCATGATTGCAATTTTCATATAAAATATAGATTGTGTATGTGTCAAAGTAATGGCAAAACTTCTTCAAAAATGGTAGCCTACATGTAACATTTTTTTGTGTTTAAAGTTACTTTTTCTTTAATCATTGACAATTGGTGGGCTAAATCTATAATCAAACCTACTCCACTTATTAAAAGGGAATCGAATTACTGATTATGCATTTATGCTACTACTTATGGTTTATATATATATAGAGAGAGAGAGAGCTATTTTTGAAAAATATTGGATAATTGACAAATTGTTACAATTTTCAAGCACGATTTTGTTTACTAAATTTTGCAAGCTTATTATGCCAACATTTGTAGAGCTCTTTTTTTAAGAATATAGTAATCTATATAATCTATATAATATAAATAAAATAAAAACAATGCAGGGTAGCCCGATACACTAAGCTTCCGTTATGGGTAGGATACAGAAAGGGGCGAAACACAAGGGTCTATTCTCGAATCCACGATATTCTAGACATATTACATCAACTTTACCAATTACGGAAAAGTTAAAAAATAATAATAGATAAAAATCTTCATTTAATAAAGCGGAGAAAGGAAATTTGCCCGTCAAGTCACTTGTCACATAGTGAAGACACGTTTATCATTTATATGAAGACAGCTATTATTATCAATTAATGAGACTTACTTCCACTTAAAAAAGATATTTTGGAAGACTTAAATAATTGATCTATCGCAGTTGCTAACGAAGAACATATAGTGGAGTAGTAGTATATAATAGGGTAGTACTGTAATGCTCTTATGTGAAATTGTAAACAAATGGAGTTCAAACTTTTATTACAACTCAGAGAGTTTGCAATTGGAAACTAATGGGCCTTCAATTGGAGCTTGAACTTTAATGGCGGATTCACCTGAGAGAATAAGAAGAAGAGAAGTTGGGAAATGATTTACCAGAATTTGCATAACCGTCTCCTTCCCAGCTCTTTGGAATATAAAGCCCAACCCTAATTCGATCAATTTCCCAATTTAGAGACTCTCTTCTACTGACATAACAACTACTTACGTTAATACTAAGAAATTTTGCAGATGGAGGGGATTTCCTTTGAAAGCCTTGTTTCACAATACATGTGGGAAGCCGATGAAAAAGGTTTGATGGCTATGTCAATATTCAATTTAATGTTTCACAACGATCCAAATTCCTTTGCTCTTAAACTTGATGTTGGTTGTTCACACGATGACATTGATTTCCGTACCAAGTGTGTTGCCCTCTTTTCACGTTGGTTAATGACTTTTGCCTTTGGAACAGTTTAAGCGTTTCAACTCAATCCATTTTAAAGTCTAATCTCCTTATGCGTCTCAAGCTCGAACAATCAACATACATCAACAACATGCTCTCTCGAACCGTTTTGGAACTAGCTGCTTCACTTCTGCCCGATGACAATTGGCCTGAATTATTGCCATTCTTGTATCATTACGTCACTGATTCCAGTTCAAACAAGTTGTTAAAAGACTCAGTTTTCTTAATATTTTGCCATCTAGGTAAGATTGGCGAAAAAAATACTTACTTGGGTACGAGATTTGCACACTTTATTCCTTAATACACTGAATGACGATAAACTCGATCTCAATGTGAGGATCACGGCCATGTTTGCTGTGCACATCTTCATTCAGTGCACACCGAGTTCATATGAAAAGGAGCGGTTTCAGGATTTACTGCCAGGTTTCCGGATTTACTGCCAGGTTTCAGGATTTACTGACTGACACATTAATGACAAATGGGGAAAATCAAGTGGCAGCACACGCCGCGCTGGGTTTTCTTATACAGTTGGCGAAGAATGAGCCTAGGTTTTTGAGGCTGCAACTAGTGGAAGTGGTTAATACCATGTTTGAGATAGCAGAGGCTAAGATTTTGGAAGAGAAGACAAGGCGTTTGGCAATTGAATTTCTGTTAACTTTGGTCGAGGCGAGGGAGAAAGTCCCCGGTATGATGAAGAAGCTGCCACGGTTTATTGACGCTTGTTTCACAATGTTTTTGAATTTGATACTGGATACTAAAGATGAACCTACTTGGCATACTGCTGAGGGTGCAGAGATAAACGACCACATTAATAGATACCGGGATCGATGGACAGTGGACAACTACCTTTATGGTGCCATCTGTTTACGCCGGTTTGCTAAAGCATTAGGTGGCAACACTACTCCTATTGCCATAGAACAGCTGAGTTCTTATGTGGTTGCCCCTGAGTGGGAGAAACGCCACGCAGCTCTCATGGCACTTGCTCAAATTGCTAAATGTAGCTCAAAGGTACAACTCCTTTTCATTAATTAGTGTATTCATGGGATTATTTTGTAGCATTTAAGAGGGTGTTATTTTGTTAGGATATAAGATAGTTTGCCCACATGCCCCTATTTGTTTTAGTTTAATTTTCTTAGGCTGTTAAGCTTGAACCCATGGTTTCTCTGTTTATAGGTGATGATGATCAAGTATTTGGAGCAAGTAGTGAATATGGTCCTGCATTCTTTTCGAGATTCTCATCCTCGAGTCAGATGGGCTGCTATTAATGCAATTGTCTATTTGTCGACTGACTTCTGTCCGGATTTGCAAGAACAGTATCATAACCAAGTATTACCAGAATTAGCTGCAGCTATGGATGATTTTCAAAATCCTCGAGTGCAGGTTTGACCTATGGTTATATAAAACCTTTATAATAGCAGCTATAAAATAATTTTTTATTATTGATACAGGAAACAACCAGCAAAAGTATCTAGTTTGCTGCACTTTTACAATGGGGAATTACAAGAAAATACACATGACTTCATATCATAACAAAAAATGACCCATGTTTTAAGTTTTACCTGACCTAGCCCATATTGTACATATTTTGAAAGCACTAGCAAATTCAAAATCTGTGTTCGTACAACCATTGCTTCTAAAAGCTATAGAGTTAACTCTGTGTTCTCACGTCCATTGCTATCACTCTCTCTTCTTCTCATATCTTCTACATATGCTTCAAATGACAATCCGCCATTACTGCTTCTCTCCCTGTGTCACTTGATTGCGATGTCAGAAAATTGAAAAGTAGAAGTCCACCATTGAAGGCCATTCAAAGCTTTGCTTTCGAAAATATGATTTTTTGAGTTTGTTAGTTGTTTGGATTGCGTGTTGTTCCAATTGATCGAAAATATCAAAAGGAGTTCAAAATTTAAATTTGAAGTGATTTGGAGTAGATTTGAGCAAGATTTGAGTTAAATTTTAGAAAAGACGCAAGGGAGAAGATGAAGTCAGTTTTTTTTTATAATTATGTATAATAGTGTATGAGTGTATAAACACATCTTATACACTATTATACACCTTTATACAAGCGTCCGTAGACGAACTTCTTCCACGATTTTCAGTTGCAATTCTTTTCAAAACCAGTCCAAATCTCCATTAAATGACTTCAAATTTTATATACAACCTCCTTATACTATTTCTAACAAGCCTGAATAACAATCACTCCAAATTTTTTACAAAATCAAATCCGGAATTTAAATCCACATATTTAAGCTTGTTAAAAATCTAATTTTCACCACCTAAATGGATTTGGTTTGTTGAACTAATAATTGAGTCACAGTTACTGATTCGAAAATTAACTTAAAAGCTTGAGCAATCTTTTTTAAAAATTAAATAGTAATTTCGAGAACCTATTGGAGTTGAATGTTGGGTATTAGCCTATTATTTCTGGGCTAGTTGGTTGTAAATTGAAATATGGGCTATAAAATTGAAAAGTAGGAAACCCACTTGTTCTAATGTATATTCCATAAAGTTGATGATCCATAACTTGGTATAGGTTTAGTTAATTGAATCTTTAAAGTTTTGTGTTTCTATCCTTAGGCAGAATAACTACTTAACTTTACATATTTTACTATGTTCAACTGATAAGAATCCTCGGCTTAAACATGAACATAATAACCTCATTGTTGGTGCAATATAACTTTATACCAAACTGATTATTTTATTGCATCTGCTTAAGTTCTTGTGTTCTAGATGTAACTTTTGAATATTTTGAGAAGGTCTCTTGACTATAACACCTATTGTGATTCACCACCCTCTAAGGGACTCACGCTGATACATATACTCCATGAATAGGGGTGGCAAACGGGCGGGTCAGATCGGATATGAGCGGTTCAAACGGGTAATTAAAAAAACGGATAAATTATCTGACCCGACCCGTATTTGAGATGGATAAAACGAGTTTATCTGGTGGATAATATGGTATCTATATATTATCAATGACTTCTTAAATATGGTCACTTATGGGAGAATTCCTAGTCTTCCAAACTTGAGGAACTCCAATTTAAGGCTTTACAAATGTAAAAGTTAAATACATTAGTTATCCATTGGTTATCCATTTGGTTAACCATTTTCTAAGTGATAATATGGTTCTTTATCCATATTCGACCCGTTTTTAAATCGTTCATTATCCAACCCATTTTTTTATGGATAATATGGGTGGATAACTGTTTTCTTTTAACCATTTTGCCACCTTTATCCATGAACAAGCACCTGGATGAGAACAAAGAAGACAATAGAGGGAAAGGGGGAGGAGCCCCAAGTCCTTCATCGCAAACGATTTGCTCAACTGCTTCTTAAGGACTACAATTCTGGATTTATTCTTGCGAACAATAAGCATGTCAAACACATAAAGCAATAAAATAATAAAATCATCATCAGAGAATTTCGGTAGTAGGCCTTGTTCCTAGTATGCTCTTATATATGCTGACCAAGTTTGGCGTCATTTGGAGTTCGTTTGCCTATGGGCTTGACTTCGCAAGGACAGTGGCATTGTCGTAATTTGCTGAAGTGTCCGAAGGCCATAACTATTTCCACGACTATGGGAATGGGGTGAAACTTCATGGAAGTGTGAAGGAAGTCAAGATAAAGCTTTAAGAACAGACGGCGCCTTATTCGGAGTTCGAAGTGTCCGAAGGCCATATCTTTGGCTTTTGCATTGTGTTTCCTTGCTCTCGCGTGATGATATCTATTAGTTTTCATTCAATTACTGGTGTTTTGCTGGTGTTCTTCTTAGATCGCCCTCTTCCTCCCATTTCCGGCGAAGGCGCAGGTTAGCTAGCACCTAACGTGCGCTGAGAGAAAAGAGAGACAGTTGTCTACTCCTTTTACTTGATTTGCACACAAAAAAAAGAATCTTTAAGATCTCCGGCATTCAGTTACTCTTTCTTCTTAATAGATAATTTCAGCGGCTAAGATACAAGTAATTATTCCTTCTTAGTTGCACTCAATGTAGCTATGTAAACCGTCCCTTAGTTTACTTGAACAATAAGGATAGCTTTGACCAAGCCTAAATTAAATTCTAGAAAATGGGAGGAAGCAGCTCAACAAGGTACTACTAATAATAATAATTCTCGTAAAACTGCAACTAGAATAAACTTAGACGATAAGTACTGCAAACTACAATTTTATTTCGAAAAGTCTAAATCTAGAATTCAGTTCACCGCCTTATAAGGGGGTTTCAGCTTCAAATTGTACGACCACCATGAACCCAACATACAATGAAATCAAGTGTAATAACATTGTGATGAGATGAAATGATGAAGGTAGAGAAATTAAAAAGAAAGGTTCCTTTCCACAAAATGAAATTACAATTAAATTCACAATATATTGCGTTGTTCAGATGGATATGCTCATATATACTCTTTGAGATCAACACAAAACATGAAGCAGAACCCAACCAGGTGAAAACACAGCAAAATGTCACAAAATAATTCTCAATAATGGCTCTCACAAGGGCCCTTTCCACATAAGAAGTTAAAGACTTGATGATCACCAGCACCAATTCCAAGATCAGTAAAACAGTTTGCTTCCACTAAATTTGAAGGAGTATAATTACTAGGAATAGTCAACTGATCATGAGCAGAAGCAGGAGAAGAGCTTGTAGTTCCTTCTTGCAAAATCCCAGTTGGGTGCAGTGGAAAAAGATTCAAAGTTTCTTGATGATTAAATTGCTTTTCATTTGGGCTGAGAACCCAAATGAAGAGAATATATTATTTGAATATGAAGGTAGTTCAAATATTATAACAAAAATGATGAAGAGAATATATTATTTGAATATGAAGGTAGTTCAAATATTATATGAAAGCGTATTATCTATTATCTATTTTTATTTATACTACTAAAGTATTAAATTCTAGAAAAAAATTATAAATTATAAGTTAAAATATTTGTACTTGACTTTAAAGTTACACCATTGGTTGTCGGAACTAAAATTTTGATCCAATACATGCTATGTAATCGAATTGTTTTACTTTGTTGGAAAATCTTTTACATGTTTTCCTTTCCTTATAGTATTCTTATTAAATCTTAAATATTAGGACTTCATACATAGTTCAAATAAGGAATGATTTGATAAATAAAATTTTAGTAATTTTAAATTCCTAAATACTAGGAAAATAACTTAAATTACAAGTTAGTCCAGTGTGAGATTTATTTTGAAAGGGTAAAAAAGGCGAACGACATTTCGCTAAAGGCTTTCGTGCTTTTAATATAGTATAGATATAGATAGATATAGATAGATGGTGGCATGCCACATGTTCCAAGTATGAAACATTAAATTTTAAGCACAAATGACAAACATCCACTGCGAATGGCATAAGATAGATTTACTATAATCAGTTCTGCATTATGACTAACTGGCGAATCTTAGGTCTTCACAGCTTTTCCTTTTGTGGCCAAAACATGTCTACTAGGGGATCATTGGCTTTCTTATTTTAAGCATATAAAAGGGGGGCAGAGGTGTTGAAGCTCAGCCAGCCTCCACCGTGCGTGCTGCCACCAAGCCACACCAAGTGAGCTACCTTGAGGGGGAACCTCAAGGGCCTGCCTGGACATCTCAAAAGAGTGTGTAAGGTATCCATACGAGCTTGGGAACTCTATGGACGACTCGACGCCTCAGGGCTAGCGTTGGGCACAAAACTAGCACCGGAGGCTTGACGTGTGGGATGATTATGCCCTGTGGACTACCGAAATGGTGGATAAAGACCTCCGTGCCGATTAGATACTTGAAGCACCTATCTTAGGGACCTCATTTGTCGACTTGTGAGCTTGGCTAGGGTTCAGCTAGGCGAGAAAGGGTCTGTTGGCCTGGACATGCAGTTGTGGGACGACACTGCACTATGCGGGATGGAAGTATGTTGCGAGGGATATGTTTGGCTATGCCATAAGACAACCATGGGCATGTTATGAAAGACACACATGACAAAGGCCAAGGACTAAAGGTTAACCTACTCGGGCGAAGCACAAACTGGGTGCGGATGCACGAGGCGAGTGTCAAGCTTGAGGATTAGACTGTGCACGCGAGAGCGATGCTTTGTGCTAGGTGAGGGACGGACATGTCCTTAGCCAACCCCGGGTGTGCGCATCGATGAGATCCGGCAGATGAGAAGTGCCACAGCTAGTCAAGGCTATGAGCCTAGACATCAGACGGACGACACATTTGACGTAAGCCTCCTAGGCAAGCTCCACCACAGGCACAAGATCGTGCTAGAAAACCTGGGAAAGAGGAAAGGCTAGCCTGTAGAGAGGGGTGACTACAGGCGCCGCACGGGCTATTTGGTGCAGCTAGCGTCCGGAAAAAGGTCGGCTCGTGACAGAAGGGAGTGAGAATCGCAAACTCATAACCCAATTGTATTTTGCAGTCAATTTACATGCCGGAAAAGCAGATTTGAAATTTTCCATCAATGAGCAGAAACAAGACAAAGCTCGTAAAAATAGAAACATGGAAGATTAGACACCAAACACTAAGTCCACAAATTTGGACACCACAGATTTGGCTGGGGTGGCAACGGATCCAATTTATTGCTTTGGAAATATTTTCCGGCTGGATTTTGCAGTGGTTATGGCTAAAATGGGGTGGTGAAGATGGTGCGGGAAGAGGATGCAAGTTTTCTTTAAAGCTAATGACACGTGTACGTTGCCAACTCATTAAAGGTGGGGCCGACATGTTGTGCCGTTAGCAGGAGGGGTAATTTCAAGCCTGAAAATAGCATTGTGTGTATTTTTGGACCAAAAGGCGGACAAAGGTTAATTTTAAACCATTTACTAAACAAAAGGGATAGCTTTGGCCCTTTTCAGAATAGAGTTTGAAGAATTTGTAGTGTAAAGCTTTGGTACAGCTGTGTCATTGCTACTTCATTCAGTTCAAAATACCTACAATGTTACTCGTTTTACTCCCTTTGCGTTTTCATAGGCATGTGCAGCTACAGCTTCCGTGATGTTCCTACTTGCACTTAAAGAGCCAATAAGCTCTTCCCACATTGATAGAATACTTAACAAACTGTTTGTACTTCTACAGGTATGCAAAGATAGATTTGTTATAAAGGTAGATTATTGTTAACGAGTCTTAAGAGATTCATTGCTGTTGTCTGAAATGCAGAATGACAATCAAATGGTTCAAGATGAAGCATTATTTGCATTGGGTAGTGTAGCTTATTTCTATAAGGTATTACCTACTTGCATTTATTTTTGACTCAATTCTGTTTCTACTTATGTTGTAGCTAATGATGACTAATATATTACTTCAACAGGAGCACTTCCAAAAGTACTATGATTTTGTAATGCCGTATTTAAAAACAATCCTGGTAAATGCAAATGATGAATCTAATCAGATGCTTCAAAGCAAAGTCTTGCTGTGCATAAGCAACGTTGCGCTTGCTGCAGGCAAAGAGAAATTCAGAGATGACTTGAAGCAGGTCGTCTCCAAACTATACTCGATGCTTCTCTTTGCATGTGCGTGCGATGTATTAGTGCTATGGGAAAAACTTATCTACAGTACCGGTATTTATACCATGCCACAAAGATTTATCATGGTTTATTGATAATTTGAGGTGAAAATATATGTTAATTAACCATGATTAAGTGAAAAGTGTGCTTAAATGGCTTTTCCATAGACAAACCATATTATTGATTACACCTATTTGAAATACCACTTTCTTCAACTGTTGGGATCAATGACTACTGCCTCATATATTTTCTCCTCCTAGTTCCTTTTTGGTCCAGCATTCTGCATCTCTCTTGGCATTCTTTTCTTCTCTTGGCGGTGTGATCTTATCCATTCATTCATTTCTAAACGCGGACCTTCCTTTCTATATGTTCTGTTATATTAAAGGTTATGGAAGTGCTTAAGTACTCCTTACAAGAATCACATGTGACAGAGTATACAAATATTCTTCGCTGTC